ATGCCCCTGCAGTTATTTCTCATTGTTGTGCAATAATGAGTACGAAAGTCATTGCAACTAGCCAGCCGAACAGACGACCCAACGCCTTCCCGTGAAGGCTGCGGCTCGGAGTGGGAAAGGAAGGAGACTTGACAGTTCCGGCCGCCTTTGTTCCGATTGTTTGCCGTCCCCCCTCGAACTTCGCCTCATCTTTGTGCACCAGATTGCCGTTGTGTTGCACCCATTCGGTTTGTTTGTTCACCCTTGCCATTGCCCCGGAACGACCGCCCTGCCGTTGGACTTGCCCAACGACATCCCGTAATACCTACCTAGGCAGTGTAAGTTGCAGCTTCGTGGACAATCAATCGCATGTGCCCTACGGCCAATTGACAGGCAGGCGCTCTCGCCAGCCCCGGGACAGCGGAAAGTACAGGTACCTTCATCGACAGCTCTCATACCCGGATCAGCAGGTGCTTGTCGAGTGCCAAGTACCACTACGACTGCCACAGACTCGGGTCTTGGGGTCGCTAGCTCAGGGCACCCCCCTGCATGCCCGTCCCTCCTTTGCAGATCATCGCTCAAGCCACGCAAATTCCTTACTACAGCTGCCTCAACTTCATGCGTCGCCTCGCGCAGCCACCTCATTCTGAATACCTTACCACCGCTGCCTAGAGTCAGACCGCTCAGTTCCCGACTTTGACGACATCTCACCCCGACGAGTACGTGCCACTCTCGTTTAAGTGCAACCTTTTTTATTTTTCTTTTTTTTTCTTCCGTCGTGGGACACTACAGCACACCACCGTTGCCGTCTCGGCCCTTCTGCCACAATATCACCAACTACATCCGCCCCGGCCCAGCTTCCGACCCCCCCGTCTGCCGCCGTGCTGCATTACACACCATGGAGACGGACCACATCGACCAGCTGCTGGAGCGCTTTATCATGTTGCTGGATGAGTATACCGTTCTGCGAGAGCTCCTCAGCAAGACTCAGGCTGGCATGTATCAGAACATCGCACGAGCCAACTTCTCCGCAGAGAGGGGCGTCAGATACGGCCCGGACTATTACGACGAGCGCATGCAGGCTTCGAGAATCCTCTCGATCTCTGCCGACAGCAAGGGTGTCCCTCGCTACGAGCTTGTCAAGCCTGCAGAAGATGTAACGAGCCCAGGGACCCAAGAGGCTCCAGTCGGCGAGCGGAAACCCGACGGCCAAGATGAGGCTCCGGCTGACGAGGTCGAGCCAACTGAAAAAGCAAAGGACGCGACGAAGGCAACGAAGAAGAGCAACGACCCTATTCGGTGGTTCGGCATCCTCGCGCCGATGCCTTTGCGTCAGGCGCAAACGTTGTCGGTCAAGGCCGTGCAGGACGTGATTCCTCGTCTGGTCTCTGTCCAGGCTGAGATGAAGCATGTGGAAATCGAGGTCAGGCGGGCACAAAAGAAGCGGGCCAAAGCTGAGGCTGCTCAGAAGAAGATTGACGAAGCGGCGGCAAGTCGCGAGTCGCACGCCCCCAGGACAGCAGTTGATTCTACGTAACCGGGCATCCCACGCAACCGCAACCTCTCAAACCATCCATGACTTGCGATTTCAACCCAGGAAATCCACGAGTATTGTCACATATTTCTTCTCGGGTTAAACGTGGTCAGGGGTCAGTCTAGAGCTCACTATTTGAAGCCGCCTGCCCCGCAAGAGGTCACTGGCAGATACCTCCCTAGATGAGAACGGCTACCGCCAATATCTCCATCAGGTCTTATTCCCATCAATCCTCACGTCCTAACCTAGACTACACTTGCAGTGCAACTCGTTGGCATTCGGTCACTTTCAATATGTGGCTGTTTGTGTCTCTGTTATGGAGACTGACGTGAACTGGTCGAGGATCTACACTACCCGAGTGTGGCATGGGATCGTTTTGTAATGGCGAGGCTCTCATCTAGACAACTAAGTAACAGTATAGGGTGTGCGCACCGGTGAGAGGACTAGACAAATGTGGTGAATGATCCCCTGAAAGAGAGCGTCGACCCAAATAGCATCCTATGTGCAGGCCCGTATCTAGATAATGCGCGCAAACTTTGAATCGGGCCTGGTGGGCAACGAAGACATCATGACCAGGTTTGACAGATATGCTGCTATCAATATACATGATTCTCAGTCAATGTTTGTCGGTCCGCTGACAGTTGTGATTTCACAGAAAAGTTTAGAACGCCAATAATCCTCATTGATCAGCATAATTGCCCAATAGTACAGAATATGTACTTATCTATTGCAGTAATGTCGCATGGTAGTGGTGCCCCTTCTATGTCTTTCTCTCTCGGAGCATGCTCTTATGGAACCCCCTATTTTCCCTGTGCTCAAGCATCGTCATCGATTCAAGTACAATTTCAAATTCTTCAGGCACACAGGAAATATTGCCGCGAAGGCAGGAAAACCAGGTGGTCTCGTTCCTGGCAACCGTCTAGCGGAATCTATCTAGGGTTTCTAGGACGTCGTCCAAGGACTCCTTCAACGGGTGGCCGGTGCCCACATGCCTCTGTAACCGCGCAGCTATGCCGAGAATGGCGCCCGTAGAGTGTACGTACCGCTTCCTCATGCCCTCATGAGCACTCACGAGCAGAGCTGTTGCCAGTTGGAGGGCAGCAATCTGGGCCTCCTGAACGAGAAGAGGCTGTTCGGCCTCCGGAACGTCCCAGGCGGCGACAGCAGTGACGTAGGCCATCCAGTCCTCCCTCGCACCACCATCCTCCCCCTCCACGATTGGCAGAAGAACACGCACAATCTCGATCCCGCGGGCTGCCTCGATTTCATCGCCTAAAGCCGACGTGTGCTGCAGGATGGCTATCAAGTCGGCCGTGAGGGCCTGCCAGCCACCGTGCGTGGAGAACTCCTCGAGTCCTGCCTTCTCGACGAGAATGCCCTCCAGACCAACCAGGACGGGTGACCGGAAGTCTAGTCCAGAGGGAGAACTGGACTTGAACAGGTCGATCAGCATGTCTGTGAGTCCCGCGGCTTCTTTCCGCAGAAGCTCGTTGTCGTCCTCGCGAAGCCAGATGGCCAAGGTCCTCACAGCTGCCAGGATGAGAGGATCTTCGTGGACGTTATCCTTCTTGGACTCCCAAGAAATCGTGAGCCTCTTCCCGCCGGATGTGTCTGTCTCTTTGGTGCGTGCGTCGGGGTGCAAGCCGAACGTGCCCGCCACTGACGCGTCCCACCTGTCTCTAAGAAACTCGATGGCCAACGACATGGCTTCCGAGATTGTCCTTCGGAGCTTCAGCAGGTAGTCTGGGGGCATGACCATCGCACCTGGCGACTGATCGTCGTCAAGGCTTCTCACTAAGTAGCCGACAAAGTGTGTAGTGACGTCGAACGCCGAGCCAATTCGCTGGGCGACGGACGGATAGGTTGGATCATTAAGAAGTTCTAGCATTCGTGGCAAGGTTACTCTCGTGTCAGTCAGGAGGAGAGTGATGAGGAGGTAGGAGAAAGGCTTGTCGTCTTTCACGTCGCTGGTGAAGAGAAGCTTTGCCGCATCCTCGTGATAGACCTCGAGCAAGGAGGCCGCCGCGATGGTGTAGGCGTTCCTAGCCTCGGGCGTAGGTCTGCTTGTGAGCAAAGTCTTGATGAAATTGACGATAGTCTTAATCCATGTTGGATTCGACGGGAGCGCCTGCGAGCGTGTAAGTCAGCCGCCTGCGTCTTTTCGGGGGGAGGACCTACCTGTGCATCGGAATTTCGGAGGAACTTGCCGAGGAATTCAAGCAGAGTGACTCCATCTGTTCCCTTGAAGGATGAGACCAGGGCCTGGATGGTGCTGTCGATTTTCTCCCTCAAGATCACTCTGTCCTCGGCAAGGTCCATGCAGTTGATGTACGCGAAAGCAAAGATTTCAAGAGCCACCGGGTCACTCGGTGCAATCTCAACCAGCGGGCTTACATCCTCAATTTCTGAAAATACCCGAGCGCCTTCTGGGAAGACGACAAGTGCAAGAATGGCCTGCACAATCAGCCGAGATGTCTCGCCAGAACTGCCCCCTTGAGAGTTAGCGTTGCAACTTTCCCCCCTGAAAAATGTCTTTGGTCGACGCACCTCCGTAGCAAGCCTGACACAAGCAGGGGCAGCCTCCCGACAAGCCTCTTGTCTCTCTTTGCCTGGTCAGGCAGTAATGATGTGAATGTGTGTATGACTGAGACGGCCAGGTCCAACATGTTTCTGGCGTCCGCTGCCTGAGCCGACTGGGCGGACGAGCCCGTCTTCACGAGCCGGTCGAGGAATCTGGGGGGAACGCACGCCCAGAGGACGGAAACCGTCTCTGCGTCATCCCTAAGTCCTTGGGAGTTGTCAAGCACGCTTTTGAGGAGCGCCAATCCTACGAATCTTGACGTGTCGTCCTTGGCTTTCAGCATGGTCTGAATCTGATCGAGTGAGGCTGTTTGCTGTGTTGCTTGCGAAGCTTCAGGCGTCTGTGAGGCAGCCGTCTGCGGATCCGTAGACCCTGAAGACTCGTCTTGATCCATTTCGTTCGAATGACGACGACGTGGTGTACTCTACAAATGATCAGGCTAAGTCTAGAGTAAGTCGAGTGAGTTGTAAGTCGGATTGGGATAATTTCCAGTGGTCAACATTTGACAACGCCCGCGCCCTCTTTCATGAACACCGTCAGTCGTTTTGGTAGGGCTCCCCGTTAAACAGAGAATGTCGGTCAACAGTCTGCCGATCTGCAAACAGAAGCTGCCCGAAGCCAAGACCAGAAGAACAACACTCTCGTGGAAAAAATGCCCCGCGCAGATTTGACCCAGCAGATCGAAGGAGCATTCTCCACGGCACATCAACATCCCTGCATGCGATCACCGGAGGAAAGACTGCAAAATGGTCCGAGCTTCTCTATCGAGTCAGCCACGCGCGGCTTGTCACTAAGCAGGTATCTGGCTGAGAGGCGCAAGGAGCGACCTTCAACAAAGGCGAAACGACAACAAGATGGCCATTCCGAGGAACTAAAGAGAAGTTGGGTGTTCCTCAGAGTCGCAACATGACCGGCCACGCAAACAATGATTCTTCGGCCTCGTCCTCGTCGCGACCGTTGAACAATGGCAGCAGCAGCAGCAATAGCAATAGCAACAGCAACAGCCCGCCCGGCGACCGAGATGAGCTGGAACTCTGGAGCGAAGACGAGGACATCGCCGACGTCCTCACCGAAGACCCCATCCGCGACCGCGAAGACCTAGAAGAGCCGCTTTCCTTCAAGCGCAAGCAGAAGCAGAATGTGCTGTCCACGCCTGGGCGCTTCCTCTCCGCCATCACCGGTTCGCGACCAGGCACCGATTCCCCCCACTCATCCCCGCGAGTTCGAACGCCGATCCAAGATGCTGGCCGACCGGGCTTCACCTCCCCGCGCAGGACAGGCGTCAATGCGACAACGACCCACGGGACGAAAGACGGCGCGCCGTTGGACTGGTACGTTGAGGGGCCGGGCCGACGAGTTGGATACGAGGATTTGACGGCGATCGATTGGATTTTCGAATACACAAAGGAGCGCCAGCGTTTGCGCGTCCTGTACGCGAGCGCGCAAGGCCTTCTGGGCTACTTCCAGCAGCTCGTTGACTCCAGTCAGGTCTGGGTTATTCTCATCCTGACTGGCATGGCAGTTGGTGCTGTCGCAGCTGGGATAGACATCACCACAGACTGGCTTGGCGATCTGAAGACCGGGTACTGCTCGGGCGGCCCCGAAGGAGGCGCATTCTACCTGAACAAGGGGTTTTGCTGCTGGGGTTACGATGAATTCTCCAAGTGCGCCGGATGGACGCCTTGGGCGAAGGCTCTGGGAGTGTCTTCCACGGGCGGGAAGTGGTTCATAGAGTACTTCTTCTTCATGTTTTTGTCGGTAGGTGGTGTTTCGGCAGATGCGTCAAGAGACGCTGCTAACTCTTTTCCTAGGTCATTCTGGCTTGCGCTGCGGCTATACTGGTCAGAGAGTACGGTATCTATGCCAAACATAGCGGTATCCCTGAAATCAAGACGGTCCTGGGTGGTTTCATTATAAGAAGGTTCCTCGGCAGCTGGACCCTGATCACCAAGTCATTGGGACTGGTATGTCAATCTAGTGCCCAGTGCACGGAATCGCACTGACGAAAATCTATAGTGTCTCGCTGTTGGGTCTGGCATGTGGTTGGGTAAAGAAGGACCTCTTGTCCATGTTGCTTGCTGCTGCGCAAACCTATTCATAAAGCTGTTTAGCAACATCAACGAAAACGAAGGTTTGCCATCCCTGCACCGTTTCCTAAGCATATTTCTGACAGTGCTCCAGCTCGAAAGAGAGAGGTGTTGTCTGCAGCGGCGGCATCTGGCATCTCAGTGGCTTTCGGTTCGCCGATTGGAGGCGTCTTGTTCAGCCTTGAAGTTGGTGACGCCCGCATGCCGCCCCGTTCTATACTTACTGTGTTCAGCAAATTTCATACTATTTCCCCGACAAGACGATGTGGCAAAGCTTCGTCTGTGCCATGACTGCCGCTGTCGTCCTCCAGGCATTCGACCCATTCCGCACAGGTCAGCTCGTCATGTATCAGGTCAAGTACAGTACTGGCTGGCATGGTTTCGAGCTCATCCCCTTTGCCCTGCTGGGCATCATGGGTGTAAGAGATTCTGTATCGACTCCCCGAAAACGAGGCTAATCAGCGTTGCAGGGCATCTACGGCGGCCTGTTCGTCAAGGCCAACATGGCTGTCGCTCGGTGGAAGAAGAACACGCCGTGGCTCCCCGGACCTATTACCCAAGTTGCTGCTGTGGCCCTCTTGACGGCGCTCATCAACTATCCAAACTCGTACATGAAGTTCCAGACATCGGAACTGGTATCCAACCTGTTCGTGGAATGTACAAAGTACGTCGATGACCAGATTGGACTTTGCAAGACGGGAGTTGCATCAGCACCGACTATCGTACTTTTGGTCTTTGGAGCCGTGCTTGGATTCTTCCTGGCCACCATAACATTCGGGTTGCAGCTACCTGCTGGTATCATCCTGCCGTCAATGGCAATTGGTGCTCTCAGCGGCCGCGCAGTCGGTATCATCATGGAGATTTGGGTCGCTAACCACCCAACCTTCTTCCCCTTCGCATCATGCGAGCCAGATGTCCCTTGCGTAATACCTGGGACGTACGCCATCATTGGCGCAGCAGCAAGTCTGGCGGGCGTCACTAAAATGACTGTGTCAATTGTGGTCATCATGTTCGAGCTGACCGGAGCCTTGACTTACGTCCTGCCCATTATGATTGCGGTCATGATTTCCAAATGGGTGGGCGACGCGATCTCCCGACGAGGCATCTATGAAGCCTGGATACACTTCAATGAGTACCCGTTCTTGGACAACAGCGAGGAAATGGTCATCCCCGACATACCCGCTTCACAGATCATGACGCGTATTGAGGACCTGGTTGTGCTCACGGCAACGGGCCACACAATAGCCAGCCTCAAGAACATCCTCGACACACATCCCTACCGCGGTTTCCCAGTAATCTCGGATCCTCGCGATGCTATTCTATTAGGATACATTTCCCGGCAAGAACTCACGTACAATCTGCGGATCTCTTCCTCGCCTCCACGATCACTCCCTCCGGAGACGGAGGCGTACTTCTCCCATCAGCCGCTGGCCGATCCCCGCACGACGCTGGACTTGCGTCCGTGGATGGACCAGACGCCGATCACCATGCCGTCGAGGTCCAGTCTTCACCTGGCTGTCACTTACTTCCAGAAGCTCGGCCTTCGCTACGTGCTCTTCAGCGACCGCGGGGCCTTGCAGGGTCTCCTGACTAAAAAGGACGTTTGGTACGTCCTGAACGGCGCCGAAGAAACGCGCCGGACGAGCGGTCTGAGCAGGGACATGGGAGTGCAGTCTGGCCTCACGCGAGAAGACGGTGGCGGCGAGCAGAGGGGCCTGTTGAGGGACGACGGGCATGAGGAAGGTATAAGCCCGGCGGATGACCGGGATACAATTTTATGAAATAGAGTGCGATCTCAGGACAGTGTATGATTTACAAAGACATGAAAATTGTTTGCCATGCCACATGCTGTTTGACGAGGCTGTCGCATTTTGTGAGTTGGCAATGTAGCCTGTGTGGCGTCGGCATAGGGTTGTCTGAAAACGGAGGAAGTCTAAAGTCAGATGTTGAACTGGTTGAGCATATTCTGCTCGACCCCGTTGCCGTCTCTACAAGTCTCTGCAGTTTGGTAACGCACATCCAGGAACACAATCGTTGGATTGCCACATTGCTGCAGTTGAGTGCTGTTCCTGTGCAAGATGCGTGGCTCTATGAGTTACCACGTTACTGATACCTGGGTGCGTTTCGCATGTACAACTTTTTATCATGGTGTCATTTCTATCTACCGTTGGAAAAACTCTTGTCAAGCTGGGCACATCTCGTGCCTTCTCACAATTGCTAGTTGAGAAGTTTCCCGCAGGCGATGGTCTAGGTCATGTCTAATGAGACTCTTCTAGAAGCAGGAGGTTAGAACACAAATATAAACTTCTAAACTCGTTTGCGAGAGTCAAGGCCAACCCGTATGAATTTGGTGGATGTTCGGGTCTTTGGCGCTGGAATCGCCTGCTTGAAGATTACTCTAGTAAGGAATTTATTTCACTTGATGATCGAAGGTACGTACCGACACGTATAGCTCATGGTCCGGTACAACGTTGGTTCTATTCGAGTTACGTGACATATTGCCATCGTTGACTCTTTCTGGACTGATGTATCAAACCTTTGTCGAGAAATCAACGGCATCCCGGCAAGTTGGATGTCTCAAAACGGACTTGAACATATAACTTCGTCACATAGGTAGCAAGGAGCACGGAACGATAAATCGTAGAGGCGCACACCATTCTCTGACGTACGCTTGCTTGTCAAAACCCACAGTTCGTAGATGCTCAATAGTACTTTACATCCTCCGCGACGCCAAGAACCGTAACGCCTAAACAGATGTGCAGGGTATCTCCAAAATCAATCTGACCGCCCTTGATGCAACAGGTCAAAAAACAAACAAGTCTTCAGCTTCTCGCGTCGATCTCCATCTCAACAGGCAACGCCCCGATCTCACCTCCTCGACACCAGTCCACGGCCGGAGGCAGCCCGCATCCCAGAGCCATGATACGCCACGAAGGCGGCTGCCAGTCGGGGAACATCTCCGAGACGGCCTTCATGCCGGCCTCCATCTGCAGACTCATGATCTGCACCAGCTCGGATTGCCGATTCGCCTCGACGAGTTCGACCTGGTCGTAGTACACCGGGTTCTCGTCCCTCGGGATGAAAACGAGACTCTCCAACCGTGGCATGCGCGCGCGAACCTGCTTCAGCACCTCCACCGTCAGGTTCGCGGCCGACATGCTCTGGTAGTACACGGAGTCGATCCAGAACAGCGAGTCGTTGACGGCCAGGTGGCGCACCTCGGCGAGGTCCGTGGAGTCGCACAGCGCCATGACGGTCATGAACTGTGATTCCGACGCCATGTAGCCGTCGCGAGCGCCAAAGTACAGGACATCGCGGCTCCGGTCGAAGAAGATTTGGCCAGGGTTGCGAGTCATACCAAAACTAAGCCGGTAGGACTTCATGGCCTCGACGCGAGACTCATGGCAGACGTGGAGGTTGACGGGAACGGATGCGTAGGAGATGCAGCCGCTAGTCGATGGTCGCCGCTGAGCGGCTGGGTGGACGTCTGCAGCGAAGGAGAGAGATTTTGCGCCGCACCGTATGGGGACGATGCGCGGCGGAGGTAGGTTGAAGTTCCATATCTTGAGGCGAAGTTCTGCGGGCAGGTATGGGAAAAGGTGCTATTACGATGGCAAGACTCGATGTTAACGAGATAGGCTTTCTCGGGAGATCGACGAAGCTTTGGCAGATTAAACGTACAAAGTGGTCTAATGGTAGCCGCGATGGTGTCGTTGGCTCGCGGGAGCCGTCCGTTTGTGTCCTCGCAACGGGCGTCGTCGTCGATGTCGGGATGGGTAGCATGGCTTGTTGGAACGCGGGCGCAAGATTCTATCTATCGATGATTGCGAACTCGTCGTCGGTAATGTGGGAGGAAAGAACCGCAAGTGCGGTGGTTGGATGGGTAATTTGGCCAATGCGGGACACGATGACGGAGGGGTGGCAAGCGTGAGAGGTTATTATATCGGTCGCAGCGGCGCGGCGGGCTGGCAGCGCCATCCTGGGCAAACGAACACAAAGGATATGCCTGCCAACCTGCATCCCGCAAGGTCCAATTCGAGCCGAGACATCATTAGACTTCTTTGACAAATACCCAGCCCCGGCCGAGCTGTCTCCTCATCAAGGTAAAGGTAGACCAGGCTCGCTGGCCTAGGCGGGGGGGAAAGGGCAAAAGTCTGCATACCCAAGTTCTGTCGGACGTGAATCATGTTAACTGAAGACCACACCCCCCTTCACCCCCACCCCAGTCATGGACGCATGTTTGTGTCAGGGAAGAAAGTGTGGCGGCCCAGAACCCGAGGCTTTGGGTCGGGTCGACAGGGGTTCTCAGCATTTGAAGGATTCAAATGGTCAATATTTCCCACATAACGCAGCCGGGGGAGGCTCCAAATGACAGGATGCCCGACGGGAGCGAGGTGCCTGGGAGCGGAACCGATCGAAGGGATAGCTATATGCACAACAGAATCACAGATGTGTCAGAACTGAGCCATGGCTTAGGGTCCCATTGCTTGAACGCCTGCAGCCACTCCCGTATTCCTGCCAATCGTCGTTTGGCAATGAGTTTGTTATATAGTCTCAACGGAAACTCATCGACTGAGCATATCTCTGCACCTCCTCAGAGCGAGATGTCATCCGAGGCCGTCTGTAGGTCTGTTCAAGGCAGGCCTCTTACCGACCACGCCGATCATGAAGTGCGGGTTGCAAAGAGCCAGGGTCCGTACCGGTCAGGTTCCACTGAAGCAGGTGCGGACAGACGTTGGGGGGCAGACTATAGCCTGGGTTCGCTGTGGGATGACGACGACGCAATATCTGCGGTTTTCGTGGTTATAGACAGAAAGGAAGTCTGTATATCCGGCCGGCCGTAAGAGAGCGGGACTGTAGATCGTCAAGATGCAAAGGCGGGTGATGGACGTGTGGTTGGTTCCAATCCGTTGGGCTGAGCCAGGGGTCAAGGGTCGAGACAGGGTATGTTTCGCTGGCTGCTGCAGTCTGCTTATGCCTCCAGTCTGTGAGTGAGCCCAGCTTTGAGTGCTGATTGGTAGATCAAGTCGGCGTCAACGCCGTGCCCCTCGGCTGGCCCGCTAGCAATCTCAGCTGAATCAGGGTACATATATTCGCCGACTTGCTCGGCGAGGCTCCAGCATTTTTAGATGGCATTCTGGCCAGGAACCTGCAGGGAGAAAAGTCCGATTTTCCGACCTGGCGTTTCTTTGCTTTGCACGAAACGCAACAAGCTGGAGCACGAGAGGAACTCTGAATAGTAATCAATGTCGACCGGCTTGCGGTCTTGACTTTTGTTGGTTTTGGTGTTAGTGTCACAGAAGTCAACCCGGGTGTTTGGTTCTTTTACCCAGAAGGACGGGCTTCAGGTGCTGTGCCGCTGTGTTTCCCCCGTGGCGCCACTGTGAGACTTCCTCTAGGCCAAATTGACCTGTCACCTGCTGGCAACTTGATGGCCGAACTTTGAACCCCACAGTCTTTGGCTGCCGAACTCCGATACTGGCCATTCCTAGCTGAAAGTTGGCCTGGAGGAGGTTCAGACGGCAGCTGTTTGCTTCACGGAGCATGGGCCGATCGACATTCCTCAGCTGCGGACGTTGGAGGCCAAGCAGCTAACCTCCCGCCGCGCCCGTTGATCTTCATTCGCATCCGCCTTGTTCGTTGTCTGATATTGACGATAAGTTTGATAGTGCTCAAGATGACTTGGTAGGTTGCCGTTCTCTCAGGCGGACCGGGGGATTGTTTTCTCCTTCGGCTCGGGATCAGCGGCAGGGTGAGGATTGTTGACATGCGGAGTATGCGATCCCAGCCGACGAATGCTAGTTTCCCTTGTCAGCGGGAAAAACGCCAAGTGCCATGCCAGACACCCAGGCCTCCCAATATTCGTGGGCGATTTGGCAGCGATAGAGGTGAGGCTGGGAAGACTGGCGAAGGGTTGGTGTGATACGCAACAACAAGGTTGATAGACTGACAGGGAGGCAGTGGATGCCTCCCGTTGCCGGTGACACTTTCCCGTCGGCCGCCCGAACGCCATCCAAGTTGTGTTTGTTGCCTGGCCATTTCCAGTGACAGGGCCAAGGTTCTGCTAATGATGACAGTCCTGCCGCTGACGGTCACTGGTTGAATCTGTTTGGTCCACTGAGAGCCTCGTCGTCTTCTGCGAGCCTGCGGCTGCCATGCAGGAGCCTGAGTGCTTGCTTGATTGCCTGCCCCTTCGGAAGAGGGTCTGACCCCCTGTCGTCGACACCCCCCTGGTGATGTGGAATCATTGAGGAAGCTTTGGGACGGCAAAAACGCCACCATCCCAATGGGTGCTGCATGTCGCAGTTCGCAGACGAGACACACACTCGTGGGTATGGAGAGCCCAGCGCCGACTAGTCTAGTTCCCAGGAACAGAGCTTAGCGGACAACATCGCAACGGCCCATCATAAAGATTCCGACATATTGAAGGTCTGGGAGTACGCAGAAACCGCAATCCGTATTCGTACGAATGCCTTGCAAATGTTGTGAAATTAGAAATATCGAAATGCGTGGCAAGCAGGGGGGGGAAACCAGCTGTGTAACTCAAAGATCCGGAGTCATGATGTATTTCATGCATATACGAAGGTGCAAATTGCTTGTTTCGCCACGGCAAAGACGACATGGAGAATGTCTGGTAAAACACCGTGCAGTCCCTGCCAAATGGTGTCAGAAGGAAGGCCCGCAAAAGATCAGACGGGATGTGGAGCTGGGATGCTTAGATAAGCCAGATATTCCACAGTCACGTGCAGGATCAACTGGGAGATGACTCAGCCAGACGTCG